AAATTATATATTGCCCTTCCTTATAGTCAAATGAACTTTACATTTATGAGTACAAGTAGCACCAGCTTCATTAATCTGAATTTCTTGCAAATATTTTATCTATTTAGAAGATGAGGCACCAGGGCCTCCTGCCTCCATGGTAGAATCAGTCTTTATTAATAGTCTCTCTCATTCCCAACAGCAGTAGAGGGTATCCTTGCCCTCTTATCTCTTGTCTGTGTAAACCACATTATGTGAAGGGAAAAAATAAGGCTTCTACTAGGAATAGAGATTTTTGCTCCCTTGGTTTTGGAAAGATGTCAGAGGTTCAGTCCTGCTGTATTTTAGACAGACTGAGAGAATCTGGGGCAGCAGAAATCAGGTGTCTTGACACTTGCTACTTGTGGTGATTGCTCTGGTCAGCTTTAGATTTTAACACTTAAATTTAGGAGTCCCAAAATGTGGGTATGTGTTAACAATCACTTTGGAGATGCTTACATTAATGTTTGTTTGATGACATCTATGGATTATTTGTGGATTTAGGTGGGGGCTTTGTACTTCCTGTGTGTGCTTTCACTCCCTATATCTTAGTATGCCAAATACAAGATGAATAAAAATGAAAGACCTTTAATAATACATTATATTTCATAAAACATTATTTTAAGCTCAAGTAAAGTTTTGATGTAACTTGAAGTTACAAATCATTTTAATTCCTTACAGCTAATAGAAAACTTGTGAATATTTCTGTTTTTAGGAGCTCCTTACTGAGTTTTTCTGTATATACTGAAAATGCAGGTGTGTTAAAAGAAAAAAGTTAAGATGTAAATGAAATGGTACCCAAAATTAGTTTGGAAGAAATTGGATTAAATCTGTACGGGTTTATAAAGTATTTCAGGAGCAGAATTGTAGCTTTATTTAAATGTAGGATGTTTCTTGACACTGTGTAAAAGACTAAGAATATTGATGTACAATTTAAGGTAAATTAGCATAATGAACATGTCTTTGCTCCCAACTGCTGTATGTTAAATTAACTATTTATGGTGGCTGGGATTTTTAAAGAACTGTGTATTACATGTCCATATCCCATTGATATGCACAAAAAATCTAAGCCTGGGTCTTTATGTATAAACTGTTTTTACCTATGCATGTGTCAGTGAAAGACCAAGGAATAAAACTTGTGTAAAAGTCACTATAATGCTTGCTCTCCTTTAAATGTCGGTGGGAAGTTCATTTCAAGTAACTTTGGGAAATAATAGTTTTACTACTTGTACATCAAGTTCATAGTTGTATTTATCTTCAGGGGCTTTCTAAAACTCTGGTCTTAAGAGGTTTGGAGAATCCTTAGTTCTCATTGATTTTTAGTGAAATCTCATGGATGCTTACTACCTTCCAAGTGATGTTCAAATTGTTCAGGATCCAAGCCTTTGTGTCAGTAATGGCCAGCATCTTTTGTAATCCATTATCCCATGGTCCAAAAGTTTCTGGAAAGCCCACCGTTGCTCTGGATCTTTACCTTCCCCTAACAAGTAATTCCTTTTTGTTGCTCTTTTTGCTGAAAGCTTTTTGTCCCAGGGCACTAAGGTGCCTGCTCCTATCAGAGCAGAGATTGCCTGGGGAGGGAACACAAAGGGCCAGATAAGAGCCCAGGTGCAGTTTGCCATGACAACTGGCTAATGAGGGAATTGGCTGCACCTGCACCTGGTTAGCTGGCCGGAAGAGGCAGGGCCCTAGGCCCTTATAAACCCTAGGGCTGGAACCCAGCAGTTCAGTTCCCTGCCAGCAGGTGAAGGGGAAGGAGCTTTTGGGAAGGAAGGGCTCAGAAATGCTATAGCCATCAGATACTTCACCCTTAGGGCTAATGGGGCACCAGGAGCCCATAAGGTACCCTTGCCTAGAGGCACCCAGTATTAGAGAAGAGGTTTTACTCCTTTAAAGGGGAAGAGTATGCCTCAAACTTTGTGTTACGTTATAGCCCTGGGGCTCAGGTTTGATTGCTGTTTGTTTGCTGTCTGATAACACTGGTGGCTTGAGTGAGGCTATTCAGGGAAGCAGGAGGCCTCACTGGGGGCCCACTGCAGCGTGGGGACCCTGGCACCAGAGAGGGTGCAACATTTGAGGGCACAGACCCTGGTGCCAGAGAAGGCGCAGCATTTTGCAGAGAGCCCAGCGCTGAGGGGTGCAGAGACAAGGGGCCGAATTATAATGAAGCCTAGGCAAGACAATGCCAGTACCATGTGCGAGGCTTGAGGCGTGGTAAAGGGACGGTTGGAGCCACGCATATAGCCCATAAAGCTGGGGTGTCCAGGGACATCTATTTTGAAACGGGGCCCAGGGAAGTCCATCAGGACCGTGCTCAGATAGGCTTGAAGGCAGCCTCCCTATATCAATTATTCCAACAAGGCGTGGCGGGTGAGAATAGTGGGTGCCCATTGGGCTGAATTGGTACGGTTGAGGTGCCTTAGGGGTAACACGGCCATCCTTAAGGACCCCGTCCCATGACACCTTGTTATAAAAAAAACAATTTTTAAAAGATGTTTTGTCTTTTGTATTTCAGACAACCCAAAATAATACTACTGAGAGAAATGTACTGTCCATTCATCTCAAATAGACCATTAAATCTGAATCTTGATTGGACTGACAGTTTAAATGTCACAGTTTCTTTCCTTATTCTTTTTCTGCAGCCTCTTGAGCTTCTTGAGTTGTTCAGAGTCCTTACCCTGCTCGCCTACCAAAATCTCAATTTTTCTCTTTCTCCCTGTAGCAGGTTGCTACTTCAGGGCATTTTGTGGCCAGACTTTTGCCCCTTTCCCAAGCATCTCTCAGCTAGCCTCAGTAGTATGCAGTCTTTCATCATACTAAGTAAGGAAACCAAAACCTTATGCATTGGACCCTGAGTTGCATCTGCTGTAGCCTCAGCCTTCTTTTCCTAGGCTTGTCCTTCTTATAGCCCAGAGGTCTCCTGCCTCTGGTTTTTCTCCTCCATTCTGCCCTCCCACCTCCTTTTTGCCTGCTGGGGTTTTTGTTTCTTGGGGAGCATGCCCTCATTAACCTCATAGCTACAGTCTAAATAGCTGCTTTCCCTTAAGGGAACAAGCCACCCTGTTACCCCCCCCCCCCCCCCCCCCCA